GCAGATGGCTTCTTGGGGACGATGGCTAGTCAACCACAGTGCTAGAGGCAGCAGTCTTAGGCTCCTATAAAAGCCTGTAACTTCTGTTATATTGAGGCTCAGGAGCTGACTTTCCTCTTACCGATACCATGCAGGCTACAATCAAAGCATGGGACATTACCCAGCATATTCCGGCCCCTGCCTGTATGGCTAGGCTGACCACAAAGCGCTATATGACTTTACTTGTGGGTCATTGGCATCTGGTGAGTGAGCAAAGCACCTTGACTATTGGTGGTGGAACACTTGGCAGTGGGAATGGTGGATTATGAAATGTTTCTCACTATTCATGGACTTTATGTTATTATAATTGGTTTTGAGTTTATGGACTGTGTAGGGTTTGGGGCTTTGCAAATAGAATTTTATTTGTGTTTTGCACATTTATTCAAAATTCATGGGTTAATGAGTATATTTAATACACAAGAATATTCTGTAATACCTGATCATTGATTAGCCCGTGTGTGGGTGATTTACATGCTTGCTTTTGTTTTCTTATGTTGATTTGCAAAACCATGCAAAACACTGAAACTGAAAAAAAGACCTTTCAACATAAAATAAATATACCCCCCAAAGTAACTGAAAACCCTAAAGTGCCACCCCCTGAAACAAAGGTGCATTTTTTAAATGGAAGCCTTGCAGCTTTTCCAAATTTGTGACTTATAGCCTGGGATAAAGCTGCACACAATCCAATGAACCCATAATGTTTCTATGATAACTAAGCAGAATGCCAGTTCATGATTATTGGCAGCTTCTTCAAAACTTCCACCATAGCAGTGTTTCTCAACTCCAGTCCTCATGGACCCCCAACAGGTCATGTTTTCAGGATTTCCCTCAGATGAAACAGCTGTGGTAATTACTAAGGCAGTGAAACTGATCAAATCACCTGTGCAAAATAATGGAAATCCTGAAAACATGAACTGTTGGGGGTGGAATGGATCAAAACCTAACGTAGGACACATCAGAGTATTTGGCTGTAAAGCATATGCCCACATTCCAAGTCAGAAACGCTCCGAGTTGGAGAACAAAGCCATAGAAGGCATTCTGGTTGGCTACAGTGAGCAGAGTAAGGGATATAGAATCCTTTGTCCAAAGACCAACAAGGTCACAGTAAGCCACAGTGTTTATTTTAATGAAAGTGAAGAACCAGATAATACAATTTTTGAAAAATGTGGAGAGGATTTACGCGCTGAATCGGCAAGAGACACTGACCCATGCGAAGCAGGACAAGAGCCAGAACAAGAAGTGGAACTTACAATCAACGATCCAATAGAATCCACTGAACAACAAGAAATCAGAAGATCCTCTCGAATGACAAAAGGGATACCACCCCGCAGGTTATCATACGCTGCTAAAACACATCAAACACAGGAGCCAACATCCTGGGAAGACATAGAAACTTTGCCGAGAAGGGAAGCCGATCAGTGGAGAAAAGCAGCTGAAGAAGAAATAAAATCACTTCAAGAAAATAAAACTTGGTCACTAACAGAACTCCCTCCCGGTCGCAAAACCATCGGAAACAAGTGACTGTTGCACTCTCTTCAACTGAAGCGGAATACATAGCAGCAGCACATGCATGTCAAGAAGCCATTTGGATTCGTCAACTTCTACTAGACATGGGTCTGAATAGGTCACAACCCACACCCATCTTTGAAGACAATCAGGGATGCATAAAGCTTACACACTCTGAGAAGATTAACCCAAGAACCAATCACATTGATGTAAGATATCATCTGCTCAGAGACATGCAAGAACAAGGGGTTATCGACATCCAGTACTGCCCATCAGAGGAGATGACTGCAGACGCACTCACCAAACCTTTGCCAAGGGAATGTCATTGTTTTCTACAAAAGAGACTAAATGTCATATAATTATGAGAAGGGGTGTTGGGAATACAACAGCATGTACTATAATGTACTATATACAGTATTCTGTGGTAATATCACTTGACCAGTAGATGGCACTGTACGCTAAAGGTCACTAGTTGTGTATGTGTAAAACTTGCTGCTTCTTTCTTCTTCTCTATCATCTCTTCAGGAAGTAATGTGTCTGTTATACAGTCTGCTGAAATGTGCTCTGTATGTTTGTAACTTAAGCCACACAAGTAAAGCCTGAATTCTGCTATCACTACCAGTGTCTTCTCTAACACATAACCAACATGAACAGTGCTTATAGACAGTGTATCAGATGGTCCATTTTATTTACAGCAGCTTCTACAGCTGCTGTATTTACCCATCAAATCCCTGCTTTCATTTTGACAGCTGGTGTTAAGCAGGAGGTGCAAGGGGATGTGGCAGCAAGGGAGAAGGACAGAACGTACTACACACCTCCTGTGTGATAAAGTATTTTTGAATGCATGTGTGCATGGAGCCACCTTCGCCCATACACGTAGGGGTACCTTTAGCCAATGTACATGCTTGTCAATGCCCAGGACCAGGCGAGACCATGCTCATGTGAAATCAACATTAGGGCGGTGCTCCTAGCGCAGACCTCATGCATGCACTTAATTAACTTCTGTTGCTCTCCTGTACCATGCGACTAAGCCATGGGTCTTTGTAATGAGAGTTTGGTCCTAAACTTTTGGGGAACTGGCTACTGGAGAGAGAGTTAGAGCAACGACCCCCTCACTACCAGAGGACCTGTCACCTACACTAGGTACTATGCTTCATGATAGACTGCTGAACCTTTACACCAGTCCTTGGTTACCCGTGGCAACTACTCTTTCTCCACACCTTCTGCTGAGTGGACCCCTTGCCTTCATACCCCATATGTGCTTTACAGGTCCTGTTCTTTCATATGCCAGAAATCTTCATGCACCCCTTTATAGTAACTTCAGACCAGGCTTGAAACATTTAACAGTTTTACTAAAGATTCAGCAACACAGTTCAACAGCACAGCACACATGAAACAGAATCCAGTCCTAACTAATGCAGGTTACCAGGTTCATACCTTCCAGGGATGCAAAGTCCAAGCAGCAAATGTCCAGTGATGGTAGATTCCTGGTCCAGGCAGAATCCCAGCCAATTGACACAGAAAGCTGCCATGTGCTCCAGGGAGGCTTACATATTGCAGCAGTGCTTCCTCTGAAATCCCATGTGGAAGAGAGCCAGAGCTTTGAGCCCTCTCCTTGTATTTATGTAGCTTACAGTAGGGAACAGGACTTCAAAAGCTCAGGAAAGAGTCTAAGCACAGTTAACCCTTTCCCAACCTGGGCAGCTTTAACTAACTGTAGAGGTGGGTTGACGTTCCTTGCATGAGCAAAGTAAATGTGTCTCTTTGAAGATATAGGATGGCCTGTGTACCATGTGTAGATGTGGCTAATGTCAGAAGATGGAGAGGTGGGCAGGGTTTCAGGCCCACGTTCTTTCCTCCTGTTCTGGTAGCTCTGCATAACAGATAAATAAGTGCAGCGCTAAAACAATTAAATCACTATTAAATGTCCGTAAAAATGTGCAAAGTATCAGCAAATGCAGATCTATGTAAAGGTGACAAGTAGAATCCAACTGATGGTGCTCCAAAGGTGTAGTAGAATTACGCACTCACCCATATGCGTTAAGTAAATACGCATTGTATAAAAATATGTAGAGGTCCCTTTCAGGTACTGGAAACGATCCTACTCCAGGAATGGTCCTCCCTCTAGGTGTGGTGGTATTGTCAGGAATACTCAGGAATACTGGATCCAGCTGCCCAGAGATCCCTTTAAGGGATGGATGGGTGGGTGTCAGCTTTAAGGAACTCCCTCTCAGGATGCTGATGGATGGCTGGATCAGGATGGGCTCTAGAAATAAAAGGCTCCACACAGGAGACCATAAAGAATGCCCATAGTGTAGTAAGGTAAGTAATACTCAATTTATTGAAATAGTATAAAAGAATTTGCAAATTCCAGGTAAAAACAGCATTAAGAGATGTGACATCTGATGTGACAGGCACATGGACTAACCATCCAGAAAGTAAGATGGCCACCGGGCCTCCACGTGGCTCCGGTGGCGTGATGTCACGGCGTCTTTTGCCCCCACTAACGCGTTTCGGGCGCGCACACTTCTTCAGAGGGCTGATACCAAATTGCATTGAGCAGTGGACAGCAGTGTTAGACTGAGGTACCCTGGGCCTGCCAGAGGAAATTAAATTGTAGGAACATTTTGCAAATTATATTATGAAAAGTGGGCATAACTTATTGTGAGTGGGCATGGTTAAACAGCAAGGGCTCATTTTAAGGCAGCATAAAAAATACTGATTTTCCTCTCTACAGATGATGTGAAAGTATGTACAACCGCCTCAATGTTTCAAGAGGTTATTGGAAACTGCAGGGAAGAACTTTACGGGTTTCTACACACTTATACTATATGTTGGCTGCAGCGTCATGTTTTCATTTTCCAATCCAATCCTGGCCCCCTGGAGGAAAAGGGGGTCACTAAAGGGTATCTGTGACACTGGCACTTATTAAGATTAATGGTACCAGAAACTGAAAGGTGAGAAGTCACATGGAACAAACTTTAGGAAGTACACTCCCACGACCGTGTGGGATAATCTTTGAATTCTTAATGCAGGGGATTACACAAAACTTAGAGTGGGGTAAATTGTGTGAAATTTGTGACAACTGCACAGTTTAATGGATGACACTAATTTGTTGTACTGGCCTAATCAAGCCACTCAGTGAATAGAGTAAAGTATGACTGCTACTGTTCAACATATTTAAAACCTAACCTTACAAACTGAGAAACTGTGATTTACAGAAGAATTTCAGGTAGGGCATTTTTTCATAGTTAAATGAAATTATATATTTGATAACATATTTGATAACTCCATGCTTTGGGAACATTGAACGACCATACATGATTATGGTTAAGTCAAAATTCTTCAAGCTGCATATCGAGCCATTGCTAACATTGGAAAGGACCAACAAATGATGCAGGATATATTTCCAAAGTCCCCAGAGGTGTTCGTATTCCACAGAGCGGAAATTATAATCATAGCAGTCTCTTCTCACAGATGGCATTACTATTTATATGACAGCCATAATCATTCCATTTTCCTTCTCTAAACAGACAAACACAGTTCTCCTTGGTTCCACCATTTGGTTCTCCATTTCCCCAATAACTGCAAGGGAAGAACGAAAGAAATTACAGCACAGATCCCCAACTTTTCTAACCTGCATTCTTATTCAACGACAATGGCAGAAGTTAGCCATTCAAAGTATGTAAATGATTTTAATGAATATTACAAAGAAGACAACCTTTGATTGCTTCATACAGAAGGGACATTTATAAAAAGTAATCTGGTAGACAGAGAGTCACATGTAGTTCTTGAGCCCCTGGTTGTGACCCACTGTATAAAAGGACAACTATGGTGAAAAATAAAGTATTCTATACACTCTTTTTGCCTAATTCATGATTTCGTTTAATGATAGTATTCAGTATATGTTCCCTTACTATACAGATACTTATTTATGTTTTCCTCTGGATTTAAATGCAGACTGGGACAAACTAAACCATTACCAGGAGTAATCTTTTTTTTTTTTAAGAAGAATTAAAGTAGTTTTAAAAGGTAAAAAAAGTTTTTACCTTAATGCATTACCTGCATTAAAGTAAAAAAAACAAAAAAACAAAAAACCTTTCACTAGCTGTTTGTCCCCCCCCCCCCCCCCCCCCCTTGATCCAGCACTATGCCCATCTGCAACAGTGATGTATTCTCACAAATGCTGTAAACGGGGGGCAGGGACAAGTGCTCTGTGTGTATCTATGGACAAGCACAGCCCAGTTTGGGAGCATGCCTGCATGCATGCCCCCTTGCAAGCAGCTTGCTATGGGGGCACACTCAGGGAAGGAGAAGCGGAGAATGCCATTGGGGACCCCAGAAGAGGAGGTGAGAGGCCACTCTGTGCAATGTCCTTGTTCATAGGGCATATTGACAATGCTGCTACCAATTACAAGGCATTGGCTTGGGGTTTATTCAGTCTGCAACAGGAAGTGCTCTAACTGGCAGGATCTCCAGATAAGAAGCCTTGCAATAGACTCACAAAAAATATTTCTTGAAGAAAACACCTGGCTTAGGAAACACCTCTGGTAGTGTTAATGTTTGGCCCAACCCTTCTCATTGTCACTTTTTCTGGAAAGCTTAGGCCCCATTCACATGGGGTAATACCATGCATGACCCATGCCAGGTTGTGTTCTGCCAGCAAGGGGATGCACATGTGCCGATGTCCCATGGTTGTCTATTGGGACACACTGCTGCACAGAGTCAGACATTGTGTCCCAATATGACATGGGAAGGGAGAATGTCACCAGCACACTGAGGATCACCAACATGGGTCCAAAAGTTTTAATGATTGATCACATAGTTACAGAAAGGCAAAGTTTGGGAGTCTCGCAGGACTCCATCATCACATGCCTGATGAGGGAGTCCTGCGAGACTCCGAAACGTTTCATTGCTGTGATCATTCATTAAAACTTTTGGATATTGGTGATCCTCGGTGTGCTGGTGACATGCTCTCTTGCTGATTCTGTTCAGTTCCAGCCAACAGTCACTGCAGCACCCACTTATACACACAGCCATTTTTAATGCTGGAATTTGTGTGTTTGGATTGTACACTTCCAATGACATGGGGGTGCATGTAGCTGTCTGCATTTGGGGACCCACACCCGCATGCCATATTGGGACACAGTGGCTGCATGTCCCAATAGACAACAATTGGACATCGGCGTAGGGATGCTTGGAACACCTGAGCATGTCATTGCCCCATGTGAATAGGACCTTAGTTTGCTATTAAATCTGAAAAAATATAAACGAGGGAGTAAAAATATGAATTCATATACTGAACTCTAACATTACATTATTAACCAAACAGAGCTCTGTAAAAAAAAATTTCATAATAATCCTTTAAAATTGCATATACCCCCCCTTCCCTTGAACACCCCAACATGTGAATGAGGTTAATGCATTGAGTAATCTGAAGGATAATGTTGTAAAGAAAAGCTACTTTTATTTTTCAAAAGAAAGGATCACAAATCTGTTTTTCATGTGTGCACCAAAACAAAATGCCACCAGAGAGAAAAAAAAATAATATTCTATGATAGTCCTCTTCAGGGACAGCATGTTATGATGGTCAGACCTCTAAATTCTACTCTTGTTTCAGCCTAATGGAAATATATTGTATGCTCTCTTCAAATATGTGTTAATGTCTTAAAAGCTGTTCACAGAAATCTTATAGCAACCGGGTCAAATACAGAGCCCCCCTTTAGTGCACAGATTTCTCTATCTTTATTTAAAATTACTATATTTTACCTGGCAGATCTGCATTTATTGCATTTTACTAAAATTATAGAATATCCACATGACTTACTTGTATGGCAACCCCGTCCCATCAATCCACTTAAATGTACCATCTGTGTCCACATCTGTCAGACCAATCCAAGTAAATTGTTTAGCATATTTATCCAGTAAGAAGTTCTATAAAAGTAGAGTAAGAAATAAGAGTAAGGCTGTGTTCACACCTGAGCATCGCATTTTTTTCGGGAGTCTTGTTGTAAGTTTGTATGTGCGTTTTGGAGCAATTTTTTGTGTTTTTGTACAGCATTTTTAAAGATTTTTTTTCACTTTGACTGTTTTTTTTATAGGCAATAGAGAAAAATATCATCCGTTATATCATTTATTTTTCAGCTATTTTAGCTTTCCATCAGCTTTTATTTAATTTATTATTATTCATGTATTTATTTATTTTGTTAGGGTAAAGGTTTAGAGTTAAGGTTAGGTGTTAGGTTAGGATTAGGGTTTGGGATTAGAGTTAGGGTTAGAAGGTAGGGTTTGGATTAGGGGGTTAATATTTTATTTGTTGACTTCCTATTATTTATTTATTGTTGTTAGATTGTTAAATTACTATCATTATTTAGTTCACTTATTTTTTTGTTAGGTTGCTAATTTGTTATAATTATTTTATTAATAATATTAATTAATTTATTTAGTTTTTTGTATGGTTAGGAGTTGTTATTTATTTATTTATGTAATATTACATATTATTTATTTTATTTTTTTTTATTTATGATTGCTTTTATTTAGTTGTGAATTTATTTTATTTAACATTTATTTATTCTTCTTTTTACATTTTTGATTTGAGGAGGAAAACGCTCCAAAAACGTACAAAAATTTATGGTTCGCACTTTTCCATTCATTTTTATGGAATTAAAAATGCTCAAAAATGCACAAATATGTCTGATTTGAGCGACAAACAAGCTCCAGAACTTGTTTGAGCTTCAGGTGTTTGGCTTCAGGCAAGAGTGGAGATGTGACCCATCTCCACTGAGAATTGATTTTTTTTTTCTCCTCAAACATTTTGGAGCTTCAAGCTACAAATCCCTGAGGTGTGAAAGGGGCCTAAGTGTAATACACTCAATGTAAAGCCAAAGGTCCTATTAACAACAGAGTGATGTATGATTGCAACACATGAATTGACTCTTGTTCAATGTTACAGAGTTATAGTGCCCGATCTTCTGTAGAAACAGGTTTAATTTCTGCAAAGCACATAGAGAAAATTTTGAACAAGCTATACAGACTCAAGAAACTATTATTCCTTAGTATAAAATGTTTTTCATATTCTGCCTTAGCTCCTGATTGCTGTTTTGCATCTTTGGATGCACTCCTCTTAAATGCCAATAGTGTCCCTCCCACTTCATTTTTTTTTAAAGCCATCCCTTTCTCATTAATTTTCTTTATTACTGTAGAATTGAGCCTCAAATATTTTAATTTTAGTTTTTATAATTGTTGCCCATTGGAATGCTTTGATAAATATAGTTGTCCTGAAAATGTCCTGAAAGCGGGGGGGAAAAAAAAAATGATCCTGCACTGCAAGGGTTAATTGCTCATTTTGTCTGGGGGAAAGGAGAAACCATTTTACTTACCTGATCCTCCTCTTCCCCAGCAGACGTCAGGCGGCTCTCCCCCATGGTCTGGTGGTGGACTGTCCCTCGGTGTCTCACATCTAGAGATGGGCTATGGATCCTGCTTTGGTCTTGAATATGTCAAGACACTAGACCGGTGAAGTGCAGGGGTGCAGGCTCTGTGGGGACCGGTCTAGCTGTGGGGAGAAGCAGAGGATTGGGTAAGTAAACTTTTTTTTTGTGTTCCCCTAGACAACAATGAGCAATTAACCATAATGACAATGTACTAGGGTGACTAGTGAACAGAGACATGGCTAGCTGCTGTAGTAGCACTGTTTAAAACAGAGAAACACAACCAAAAAAAAATGGCACACAGGCTGCAGTCTGTAATATTTGTTTATAAATGTGATTGCTGTGATTGGTCACAGTGATCACATTGCACAGGACAAATTTTATTGGCCTTGCACTGTGATTTATGATCTGCTGTACCTGAAGGGCACAGCAATCACAGGGCGCGCATTTAACGGAGAGAGCGGAAGGCCCTGTCCAGCCATTCATCTACCATGACTGGATGGCAGGTGGTTAAAGTGTTACTAAACCCACAACAGTAAAATAAGTCTGTATATGCAGTAAAGCATGCTTGTTATACTCACTGAGGAACCTAAGGGGTTAATCCTCTGCATTGTGTAAAAAGGCCGTTTGATCCCGACTTCTCTGCTACTCCTCTTGTTCAAATGTCCACGTCTTATCTCCTGATAAGACAGACTGAACATTAGCCATTCTGCACATGCTCAGTTTAGTGTGTATTTTTAGAGAGTTTTTTTTTTCTTGGGAGAGTGCATGTGATCAGCACAGGGCCAATCAGCACTGGTCAGACAGCAGTCGGGGGTTTTGCATCCTCCTAGAGCAGAAAGAAAACTCCTCCTACAAGCTTTAGCTAGTGGTGGGCTGGACACTGATAGAAGTCACAAGACTGCTCTTACTTCTGATGAGAAAAGGTATTTAGCAGTTTATATTTACTAAAATAATTGCATTTCTATGTTGTGTGTACTGTGGGAGACCAGATATAGTGAATGCGGGGTCCGGGGAGAGCAGATATAGTGAATGCGGGGTCCGGGGAGAGCAGATATAGTGAATGCGGGGTCCGGGAGGAGAGCAGATATAGTGAATGCGGGGTCCGGGAAGAGCAGATATAGTGAATGCGGGGTCCGGGGAGAGCAGATATAGTGAATGCGGGGTCCGGGGAGAGCAGATATAGTGAATGCGGGGTCCGGGGAGAGCAGATATAGTGAATGTGGGGTCCGGGGAGAGCAGATATAGTGAATGCGGGGTCCGGGGAGACCAGATATAGTGAATGCAGGGTCCTGGGAGAGCAGATATAGTGAATGCAGGGTCCTGGGAGACCAGATATAGTGAATGCAGGGTCCGGGGAGACCAGATATAGTGAATGCAGGGTCCTGGGTTTAGTAACACTTTAAGCTAGTTCACTCAGCAAGTCACTGAAATAATGCTTTAGGACGCCCCATCTTGCTCTAACTTTGCCAGATGTACCAATGTGTACCATAACAGGTGGCATTTCAGTCCCACCCAACAATCTGTCAAGCCAATTTGCAATATACAGAAATAATACAGGTAAAAAGCAGCGTTTAAGGTGTTGCCTCTCAAGAAGCAATAGACAAATCCACGGCTGCAATAACCATTTTATTTTCCAATTCCAGATAATATGAAAGATAAAATCAGTTATAAAAACAGGTATGTTTTAGCATCCTTATGTCATACTCTCAGCACCCTCTAGTGGCCAGCCCACTAGCTGATCAAAAAAAAAAAAAAAAAACAGTCATCTATGGCCAACTCAAAGGGTTAGTACACCTTTATAAAAAAATAAAAAAAAAAAAAAAAACTGCCTATGCAGATAAGAGGCATCTGTAGATATAAACAAACTGTGCAGATTTGCCTAAAATTGAATAATTGACTTGCAATAATGGACTTGCTGTAGAACCAGAACATTGCTAGGACGTTGCTAAGTGAGGCCTAGTCATTACCACTCACCTCTCCCCATCACAGGAGTGAGCTCTCAAATGCTGAGCTCAGATCTACTGCATCAGGGTAGTAAATCTAGTTTTTGGCTGGGCTGTAGGCTGCTCAGACTGATTGCATACTTTGTATTTAGGCTTTCCCTAAGCTAAGTTGGGTTGTGTATTTCTCACTGCCGCCAGTAGGTGTCACTGATACCACAGGTCATAGTATGAGACTTCACAGACTAATGCAGGCCATAGATGGGTCGAAAATCGTCTGATTTTTCGGCTGAAAAAAAAAAAAAAAAAAAAAAAAAGGCCGAATTTCGCACCGTTAATGGGTTAATTGGTCAGCCGTTTTTTGGGGTTTTGGCACATTTTTTTTTAATAAGTGAAGTTAGAAAAAAAATCGGCCGATTTTCCTGGCAATGATGGGCATTTTTTACCGATAAAAAATCTGCGCATGAGCCGTGGCCTGCAAGAAGAAGAAAAAGAAGAAGAAGAAGAAAAAAGAAGAAAAAAAGACAAAAAAGAAGAAAAAAGAAGAAACGAAGAATAGGACTTCCAGTCCGCTATTATATTTGACATGAAAAAGTATTGCGGTTGCAACAATGTATCTATTTGTATCCGAATAAAACCATCTGTATCCTAAATGGATACAAAATGGATACATTGCTGCAACCGCAATATTTTTTCATGCCAAATATAATAGCGGAGCTCTCTGCAGGGACAGAAGTAATTAAATGCCGGCCGTAGACGGGACAAAAATCGGCCGATTTATTTTTACCGTTGGTGGTAACGTCGGCTTATTGAACGACCGATTTTTCTTTTTTTTAAAAAAAAAAAAAAACGGACGGTTTTCGACCCGTCTATGACCTGCATTACCAGTAAAAAAAATGTGCCAAAATCCCAAAAAAAACGGCCGACCATTTAACCCACTAACGGCCTGAAAATCGGCCGATTTTTTTTTTGGCCGAAAAATCAGCCAATTTTAGACCCATCTATGTCCTGCTTAAGTTATGAATATTTATATTTCTTCCAGCCAGCCCAGTAGGAGGTTCATGGCCACTGGTACATCTCTGATAAGGCTGAGGCCTGGAGAGATGCTGCTGGAGAGAGCTCTGTGACTAGGCCCTGAGGCCTATCTACGCTGAGGTGGTCTTGAGGCTGTCCAGCTCGGAGTGGAGGAAGCCAAGCCAATGTGAAGAGATTCAGGGGAGGCCCCTTTGCTGGAGAGAGCCAGAAGGAAGGCTGGTGTTTCAGAAGGGCCTGGTGACTCACTTGGGAGATGTAGTGGATCTGAAAACACCATTGCAGTATTGCCAGGTCGGATTAAAGGTTCTGATACTGTGAAGCTGGACTTTGTTCTGGGTTCAGAGAGTCCATAAAGAATCTGTTGCTGGTATCTTGGACCGCTAACCCTCACTGCTCCTACCTCCTTTCCAAGTTCAACATTAAAACATTGAAAAGACCGAAAGTGACTGGCAGCCAATTTTCTTTTCAAGATTTCCAATTATAGCCATGGACCCAAGTCTGAGGTAAATGATGGCTAGCTCCCTAT